GGTGATTGGTCCAAAGTCACCCAGCTGGCTTTCATGCCTAAGGCGGGACTAGAACTCTATCTCCTGGTGATTGGTCCAAAGTCACCCATCTGGCTTTCATGCCTGAAGCGGGATTAGAACTCACAGCCTCCCACTTTCTGGCCTAATATAACCATAGCTACCATGGTATAAGAATAACATAGGTTGTCATCCCCCTCCTGTTGTTACCCCCCCCCCCTTGCCCTTTTGTCAGGGAGAGGATGCTTCTAGCAACAGGTACAGGAAGGCCCTAATGTACGAGCAAAATTGAGCCAAAATTTACATTGCTAAAAGTGAGAAATTTCTTAAGTGAGTTTTGCCCCATTTTACTTTCCTTGCCACCGTTAAGTGAATAATTTCAGTGGTTAAATGAGTAACATGGTTGTTAAGTGAATCTGGTTTTCCCCATTGACTTATCCTGTCAGAAGGGAGTCACATGACTCCGGGACACTGCAATTGTCATAAATGCGAGTCGGTTGTCAAGCAGCCAAATTTAAATCCCCTGTTACCCTGGGGATGCTGCATTGGTCATAAGTGTGAAAAATGATCATAAGTCACTTTTTTCAGTGCCATTGTAACTTTGAATGGTCATTAAGTGAACTGTTGTAAGTCTAGGATTACCTGTATTATCAAGCCTCAGCTGACAAACTCAAGAAGCTTTCACACCTTAAATCCCATTTTTTTTCTTTGTGTTTTACCTTCTTACTTTGAGGGGGGGGGGAAATTTGAGCCCTACAAGTAGATCTAATCTAAGAAACCAATGCCATGTAGGTCAGGAATGAGTTGGGAGGTGTAGAAATAGGAAATAAATTAGATTTTGACTATCCAGCTTCTTTTAGCCTGAAGACTAAACCAGGACTGTTCTATTATCTAATCTTAACATAAAAGTACCAGTGTCTTGTCAAGCCTCAGGTGTGCCACAAAAGGCCTGACGCTGATGGATGAAACACCGGCACAGCGATGGTTGCAATTGTATTAACTTCCAGTACACAACCTATTTTTTTTTTCTTTTTCTTTTTCATGTAGAAAAAAGCACCGAGAAAGACCTGATCGATCCCATCTTGGACATTGAAGACCTTGTTAAAAATGGAAACAAACACAGGTCCCTTCTTAAACTCTGCCTCGCTTCCTTGGGGAAATAGCTCAGCAACGGCAGGGCTTCGTATTAAGCTGAAATGTCGAAAGGGGAACCAGGTTTACCAACACAATTTACAGAGCCAAAGATAATTTGATGCTTTCTTTTGCTGAGATTGTGCAGAAAGCATTTAAAATCATTTGTTGATCCTGTGAATGCCCCCGGGGTACCTGTCTTTTCCCCTGAAAACAAAAGCTTTATAGCACAAGCATTCTAGTTATTTTATGTGCCTTATTGTGATCATCCATAAAGCAAATTTTATAATGCTCATTATAGGTGACCTTGTGAGAGATTTCTCAGGAATCTGTTTTCTCCTCACGCTTATTTAACATCTATATGAAACTGGGGCAAGGTCATCTTTCGGCATAAGTTGTGTTTCATTGCAATGCCAATGTCACCTAACAATAGAAATAACACTAAGACTTATATAACACCCCATAGTGCTTTACTGCACTCTCTGGATGGTTTACATCATCGGCATATTGCACCTAACAACCTGCGTCCTCGTTTTACTGAGGTCGAAAGGATGAAAGGCTGGGTCAATCTTGAGCCGAACAGGATCGAACTGTAGACTGTGGGCAGAGTTTGCCTGCACTACGGCATTCTAACCAGTAGTGGGCTTCAAAAAAATTTTTAGCAAAGGGTTCCCTGCCCAGTTGCTGGGTGGGTGTGGCCGTGATGGGCGTGGCCTAGTCGGTCTCCTGCACCATGGTGGGGGAGGGGTGTTTTTGCTTTCCCTGGGCTCCAGAGGCTTTCTTTGAGCCTCCGGGTGGGTGAAAATGGCCACCCTGGGCTCCGGAGGCTCTCCTGCCATCTGACCAGGACTTATGACAAACTTGAAGTCCAAAGAGCTTCCATTTTATGTGACCTGGCATTCCTACGTAACTGCCGAGATCAAAATTTAATCCCCATAAGCTTCCAATTGAAATTCCACGCCAACACAGCAGCCACCAAACGTATCCTAAAAAGAACAGAATTGGCCCTAATTAGAAATGAACTTCACACAAAAAGATTCCTCCTAGACCAAATCAACAAAGATCTCCTCACACTTCACCTCAGACTCAGCAAGAAGATTTACCCCGCACTTTGGGACAAATCCAAACAACTCGCTGTCTGGAGAGCCGAAACACAGACCACCCTCAAGACAGACACACACACCAACAAACTCAGAAAACTACAACAACGCCAGAAACAAACTCCTCCCCCCTCACAGCCACACATGAAACAAACAGTGCACAACATCTCAGACAAGATCCTTACCGAAGCCGAAACCAATGTCCTTTCGAAAGGATTCAACTTTGCTGTCGCTCCCAAACATATCCCCACAGAAACCATTATATGCGGAGTTGAAACCAGCCTGACCAAAACCAACCCTGATGATGCTAACAGAATCAGACTCTAAATCACCAACATCCTCTGCACCAGCAAACCACCCAAAAGCAACTTATCCAAAGAAGAACAAACTGCACTACTTAACCTGAATGAAGACACCAGCATAATAATCCTACCAGCAAGGGCAACGCGACAGTGGTTATGAACACATCTGACTACCAAACCAAGTTAACCCACCTACTTCAAGACCCCACATACAAACCCCTAAACACAGACCCTACCACCTACCTAGAAAAAACCACCAGATCCAAAATAAAAGCCTCCCCCATCAGCGAAGAAATCCAGCAAAGAATCATACCCAGAGAGAAATCATCCAGATGCCCCAAGCTTTATGGTCTCCCCAAGATACACAAAGAAGGAACCCCACTCAGACCAATAGTCAACTCCATAGGCTCACCTCTACAAAACCTAGCCAAATTCTCGCCAAACAACTACAGCCCTATGCAGAATCCATCAACTCACACGTAAGAAACTCATTCCAGTTCATTGAGATCATAAAGAAACAAAACTTACAGCCCAGCGACCTACTAGTGAGCTTTGATGTCATATCCACCCAAGTGCCTATAAAAGAAGCCTTGACAGCCATCCAAAACAAATACAACCCCCCCCCCCCC